GTGGATGGAAGATGTCTCTCACTCTCTCTCTGCCTCCCCTCTCTCTGTGTAACTCTTTCAAAGAAATAAATAAATCTTTAAGAAAAATAACAGAAGGGGAATCACATGGGTAGATTTGAATTTCTAAAAAAGAATTTCTGAAATAATTGACATCGACAATATTACTTAGCATATGGTAGGTACCGGATTTATATTTGTTAAGTTTGAGTGATTTATTCAATGACTGATATAAGCTAATTCTGTTGAAAAATTACTATGTTCCATATGTTGTGGCATAATCTGCATTTGCATAAAAGCTTTGTGGAAGAGGTATTGCTATAATACCAACGTATAGAAATAAATGGAAGAACACACTTAAATAACTTGGCCATGTTTCACCAATTAGAATACATCATTCAGGCTTGAATCTGAGCAATGTGACTCCAGAGTTCACACTCTTGAATGCTAGTAGCTCTGTTAGCCCTCTGTTAGTGAATGAAAAAATAGGTTAAAACTTCAAAGTGTTCAAATCCTAGCGAAACAAGGATTAGCTTGCAGATTTTGGTTCTGAATTCTTTTTTTCCAAAACTAAGTTAGTATTTCATTATTGGGCAGATTAAGATTTAATTCATTGACCTCTTCTGTGTAATTAAGAGATTGCAGCTATCAAGTGAATAGGCTGCCCTCGAAGGTGAGAAATCTAGCACTTGGCTTCTAGAGAGGGGTATATGATTCTAGGCAGCAGCAGAAAAAAAAAATCAATGCTTGATAGCTGTGTTGTACTAATAAATTGGGTTGTGATTCAAAATTCAGAATGTGCTCTGACAATGCAGCTACTCCATGCACTAAAGCACTAAACAGTTACTTATTGTGCAGAGAAGGTGAGATCATCTCCAGCTATGCCAGGCTTCCTTACCCAGTCCCATTTGCTTGAACTGTGTATGTATTCTGGCATCACTCGTTGTGTGCGTGGACTGTTGGACTTCCTTCACAATTCTGAATTTACTTCATGTGTCAGATACTATGGTAGATGTCAAGGACAGAACAGCTGACAGAAATAGGCCCTATCACTAATATCTAACCCCTCCTCACCATTTTACCCCACCTAGAAAAGAGTAAGCAAATAATCACAGGAGTAGATCACTAATCAGGAAAGAGGAAAAATGGCAATGGCTGAGCATAAGATAAATTAGGAAGACTGTGTTAAGTTCATGAATGCCACATTAATATTTTCTGGTTTATTAAGTGTGAAAGGGAAGACCTGGTATTGTTAAAAATAATTAATTAGTTAATAAAAAGATTGGCTTTGGAACAAGACAGACCTGAGCTATCATTTTAAATGAATTCATAATATAGTTCAGTATAAGCAACAGTCTGCTAAGTAGCTTCTGAAATGTGCGAACATAATCAACAATGTTCTTCTATCTGTGGAGCTACATATATGGTTAAACAAATATTTTTTAATCTCATCCCTCAATTAGGACATGCATGCAAATGCATTTCCTTACTCGTATTTCTTCTCTGTGATCCTAAAATTCATTCCAAATCTCAATAACACTACAGACCTATGGTGAAAAGTTGAACTGAGGTTATTTTCAGTGCATGTTGGTGCTTCCAACAGATCCCAGCCTCTGGCCACAGTTGTCAGCCAGGGAGCTTTTAAAGTGCTATATCACCACAAGAATAATGCAAGGAGATTGAAGGACTCTGGTTCTTAAGTGAAAGGGAAACAAGTCCCCAAGGCATGAAACATAGGCTAAATGACAAGGAAAGACTACATCCAGGTATCAACCTGGCTGCACTTGCCCCAGCACCAGTGGTGTTGTTAGAAAAGCAAGAGTAGCAGACTTATTCTGAGGTGTCAGCACACTGTGGAAGCATGGGAAACTTACAGGCGACATTTTGTTACAAAGCACATCACCAGAGTTGTGTTTAACCCCATGTACCAGATTATTTCAGTGATAGTGTTTAAATATTTAGATTTGCCTATTTTCCCGAATCTTTCATAGAGTCAGAGTGGCTTTCCAAAGAATTTTTGAAGCATAATGATGAGTCTTAGGACCCAAATATTCCTTTTAATAGAAGGGAGATCTTTATTTTTTTTAATAGTCTTGTATAAATTGTCATTTATCAAAGCAGAGGATACTTTTTTTGTGAAAAATCCACTGGGAGTAACATTTTTGAAGTGTGTCTCCAAGGCTAAGATACACAAAGGCTGTGGTTTCTATATTTAATTTGGGGTGTATTTACTTTTAAAGATAATTCCCACTATGGCCCAATTTTGTAAAAACAGCACTGAAAGGGCTCTGTTTGTCGGGGGGGGGGGGCAGGGCTTAGTAAGCTGACAGATATGTTAATTATTAAAACTGGTTCTCTATATTGGGCAACATTTCTAAGCCTACCTGCTCATTGAATAATTCTGTAATGTGCCTATTCATAGGGTCCATTCTAAATTAATATTCTATGGAGTGATTTTCAAGGATACTTATTCCAGTTTTTTTTTAAAAAGAATATTTACAGCTCTCCCTACCCATCTTCGTGAATAAATGATCATTTACATTAGTAACTGAAAGTATTTCCAATTTAAATAATACAAACAGAGGCTTTCTTATTAAGAAACAGAAAAATCAATACACAGTTTATGTGTTCCTAAAATCATTAACTTTATTAAACTAAGTTTATGACATAAGCAATCAACTTTATATTTTTCTCATGTTCTCTACATACATTGAAAATAAAAAATTTTAAATGTGATATTTTTAAAATAAATTATCTGCTTTATATTGTTTTAAATGCACTATGTATAAATAATAAACATTTACAAACTCCAAGCACATCTGGTAACTGAAGAACAAGATTCCTAGAAGAACTATTCAAAGCTATTCACACAGTTGTGCAATGTTTAATCTTTATTTAGAAATGAAGATATTTCTTGGAATGCCTTGGGCATAAGCCAGCATCCCTAGAGAGTCCTCTGGTTTCCATTCTGAAAGAAGGTTTACTCCTTTTCTGGTTAACAAAACCGCAGCCTTGAACTTTTTATTTTGTTAACTGACTACTGAGAAGAAGAGACCATAGACCAATCTCTACGGCTGTTAAGAGTGAAACAGCAATGTCCGTAGGTATGATTAGTTAACAATCATAATTTATAAGTGTTCATGGATCTTTGGATCTCTAAATTGCCCATATCTCATAGTCTACTTAACAATCACATTAGGAAGCCAAACAGCATCAATTACTTTTATGACCACAGAAATAATAGTATTTACTAATGTCATGTATTATGAGCATGTGATACTGACATCCAATATGGGTGGTGGTTCCAGACCTGGACACTCCATTTCCAATCCAGCTCCCTACTAATGCACCTCAGAAAGCACCTTGGGAGATGGCCCAAGCCCTTGGAGCTCTGCATCCACATGGGAGACCTAGAATAAGTTCCTGACTCCTGGTTTCAGCCTGGCCAAGCCCTGGCCATCTTGGCCATTTGGGGAGTGACCCAGAGATAGAATATATCTCTTTGTTGCTCCCTCTTTCTCTCTCTAACTCTGCCTTTGAAGTCAAATCAACAAATTAAGCCTTTCTTTTGAGAAAAAAGGAAATAAATCCATGTTTTATAATTGAAACATTTCAAAATATTTGCTGATAAATGTTTGAGATTTTATCATCTAGGTATTTGGCTGCAGCTAGAAAATATGGTACAACCTACATTATATCAGACACTGGAGAAATTTACAAGTGTGAAAGGAATGGGAGAAAGAGGATGTGAGCCATACATAGAGACTACCTTTTATTTTTTAAAGATTTATTTTATTTATTTGAAAAGTAGAGTTTCAGAGAGAGAGAAAGAGAGATAGAGAGATCTTTCATTTGCTGGTTTAGACCCTAAATGACCACAATAGTGGGGCTGGACTAGGCCAAAGCCAGGAGTCTACAACTTTGGGTCTCTCCCATGGCTGCCAGCAACTCAAGTATCTGATCCATTGCCTACTGCCTCCAAGGATGCATATTAGCAGGAAGGTGTATCGTAAAGTAAAGTAGCCAGGATTTCAACTAGGCACTCTGATAGGGGATGCAAGCTTCCCAAGTGTGGGGAGCAGCTCGGACTGGACTAAGTTACTGAAATTAGGACTTATTCTATGCATCTGCTCTCCCACAATATGGCGCTGGGAGAGAAGTAAACAGCTTCCGCACAGCTGCCTCCAGTTCAGTTAATAAACTGTAGGACTTGCTCCTGATTGGAGAGCGGCGTACTCGGCGTGTGGGCAGCCGAGTTAGGATTGGCGGAGGAGGACTATAAAGGAGGAGAGAGACAGCATGCACCAGGAACATCTATGGGGAACATCTAAGGGAACCCGTGCAGCCCCCGAGAAAGCCGGCCGGCAGTGTGCCGCTCCCCTGCGGAAGTGGGGAATGTGGCCAGGGGGAACTGCCCTTCCACGGAGGTGGAAGGGATAGTAGCCAACCCGGGAAGAACCAGCAGCAAACCCGGGGAGGGCCGAGCAGACGAAAGAACAGCGCAGGGTCCTGTGTCGCTCCTCCACGAAGAGGGGGAGCGACACCCAAGCAGGGACTTGGTTGCTCTGCCAGCACCTGTCCTAAAAGAAAATTTTATTTAAAGAACCACATGGCAATTATGGAGATGAAAAATACAATCCAGAAAGAAAAACTTTACTAGAGGAACTCAACATTCACTTTGATGTGGCAGAAGGAAGAATCAAAATGCAGGTTTTGCAACATATGTTCTCTGACCAAGATGTAACACAATCAAGAGTAAACTACCGAAAAAAAAAATACTGGAGAAACTAAAATAAAAAAAAGAAAAAGAAAACCAAACAATGCAGTTCCAAACAGTTATTCAAAGAAGAATTTCTAGAAAAAGGTTTTTAAATTTACGATGAATTAAAATGATACTAGAACACACCAAAACTCATGTATGAATTATAGTACATAGAAAAGATTTATAGCTACAATGCCACTAAAAAGTCATTTTTAAAAAATTCTCAAATTGGGGCTGGCACCTTGGCTCACTTGGTTAATCCTCTGCCTGCAGTGCTGGCATCCCAAATGAGTGTTGGGTTCTAGTCCTGGTTGCTCCTCTTCCAGTCCAGCTCTCTGCTATGGCCTGGGAGGGCAGTGCAGTATGGCCCAAGTGCTTGGGCTCCTGCACCACATGGGAGACCAGGAGGAAGCACCTGGCTCCTGGCTTTGGATCGGCGCAGTTCCGGCTGCAGTGGTCATTTGGGGAGTGAACCAATGGAAGGAAGACCTTTCTCTCTGTCTCTCTCTCACTGTCTATGACTGTACCTGTCAAATAAAAAAAATTCTCAAATCAATAATTTTATCATTTTTCTGAAACAAGAATAAACTAAGTGCAAATTAAACCCAAAGCAATCAGTAAGAAGAAATGACAAAATTATAGTGGAAATTACCAATGTATCAAATACAAAACAATAAATAAAATTAACACACCAAATATGGTCCTTTGAAAGAAAGAATAAGTTTGGCAAATTTCAGTAATATTTACTTTGAGAAAGAGAGAAGAATCATGGAATTAAAAATAGTAAAGAAAGACAAGATATCAGTATCAACCTTAGGGCAAATTTTAAAAAGCTTATAACAAATACTATGAATAATTGTATGCTAAGAAAGTAAAAAACTGTGATGAAATGCACATTCCTAAAAAGGCAAGGAAGGGTTAATGTTGACTCAATGTTTGAGAAATCTAATTCTATTTAAAATACATAAAGAATTAAAATCATTAAAGTATCTATGCCATCAAAATCAACTTACAGATTCAATGTGATACCAATCAAAATACCGAGGACATTCTTCTTAGTTACAGAAAACAACAAAAACAAAGCTAGACAGGACAGTTACAGCATAGTACTGGTGCAAAAACAGATGGATAGATTAATGGAAGAGAATAGAAACTCCAGAAATCAATCTATGCATCTACAACCAACTTATCTTTGACAAAGGAGCTAAAATCAATCCCTGGACCATAGAGGATGTCTTCGACAAATGGTTCTGGGAAAACTGGATCTCTCTCCACATGCAGAAGTATGAAGCAAGACCCCTACCTTACACTTCACACAAAACTCCACTTAAAATGGAAACCATTATGCCCTGTGAAATAAGCCAGTCCTAAAAAAGACAGATATCATATGTTTTCCCTGATCAGAGGTAATGAATGGAGTACCTGAAATATGTGCTGAAGTGAAATAGACATTTTGACAACCAGCAATGGTTTATAGCCCTTGTCTCTTTCATTGAGGAACAGTATTTTAACTTTGTTTTGTTTTCTCTACATACTATTTGTTTAACTCTTTTACTTAGGGTGACATTAACTACATGATCATTAAGTATACTAAAAAATATCATTGCAAAGATTAAGAGTGGGAATATGAGAAAGAGGGGAAGGAAGTATTGGAGCATGAGTGGGATAAAGGGTCAGGGAAAGTGCTACTATGTTCCTGTAAGGGTATAAAGGAAATATATAAAACTTGTATAACTCAAATAAAATATATATTTTTAAAAATGGATTAAAGACCTAAATCTACAACCCAATACCATCAAATTATTGGGAGAACACTGGGGAGACCTGGCAAGACATTGGTATAGGCAAGAGTTCTTGGAAAAGATCCCAGAGGAACAGGCAATCAAAGCCAAAATTGACAAAACTGAGAAGCTTCTGTACTGCAGAAGAAACAATCAGCAAAGAAGCAACTGACAGAATGGGAGAAATTATTTGCAAACTATACAACTGATAACAGATTAGAAAACAGAATATATAAAGAGATCAAGAAACTCCACAACAACAAGACATATAACTCAATTAAGAAATTGGCAAAGGACTTAAACAGATATTTTTTCAAAAGAGAAAATCCAAATGGCCAAAAGAAACATGAAAAAATGCTCAGGATCACTAGCCCTCAGGAACATGCAAATCAAAACCACAGTGAGATTTCTCTTCACCCACCTTAAAATGGCTTTCATACAGAAATCAACAAGCAACAAATGCTGGTGAGGATATGGGGGAAAAATACCCTAATCCACTGTTGGTGGGAATGTAAACTGGCAAAGCCACTATGGAAGACATTATGGAACTACCTCAGAAATCTGAATATAGACCTACCAGATGACCCAGCCATTCCACTCCTGGGAATTTCCTCAGGGAAATGAAGTCAGCACATGAAAGAGTTATCTGTACCTCCATGTTTACTGCAGCTCAATTCACAATAGCTAAGATATGGAATCAATCTAAATGCTAGTCAACCAAAGACTGGATAAGGAAATTATGGAATATGTACACCATAGACAACTACATGGTAGTAAAAAATAATAAAATCTGGCCATTTGCAACAAAATGCATGAAACTGGAAAACATCATACTCAGTGAAATAAGCCAGTCCCAAAAGGACAAATATCATATGTTCTTCCATGCTCTGTGATAACTAATAGAGCATCTAAAAAGTAATCTATAGAAGTGAAACTGACACTTTGAAAAGCAATGGCTTTGAACAGCCCTTGTCTCGACTGTTGAGGAACAGATTTTTTTATGCTACTGTTGAACTCTTTACTTAACACAGAGTTAATCATATGTGTATAAAGTTGATTGAAAATAGATGTTAGTAAAAAATAAGAATGGGCAAAGGTGAGGCAGAAGACGTGTGGGAGAGTGGGTGGGAGGGCAGGTACAGTACAAAGAATCACTATGTTCCTAAAGTTGTAATTATGAAATGCATTCCTTAAATAAAATATATCTGGGGGGGAAAAGAAAAAATTCTATGAAATAGAAACGAGAGGGCTTCACTTTTGAATTCTATCAAATATTCAAAGAATAATTAATACAAAACTTTCAGAAACTTAAAATGCTGAGGGAACATATTTCAACTTATTCTATGAGGTTATTATCTAATAGCAAAGTCTATCTAAACTTCAGAAGTCATGCACACACACACACACACACACTAATACACACAACACTCCAGACCCATAACTCTTACAAATGCATATGTAAAAATGCTCAGCAAAGCGCTTGCATACAAAATCCTGGAAAGCAAACAAGAGATGACACAGCATGACCAACTGAGATTTATCCATTTACTGCCACGTTAGTTTAGCATCCAATAATTATTCAATGTAATGCCCTTGTCAATAGAATACAAGGGAAAAAAAAAACAGCAGCACACAATCTTCTCAATACTCATCAGAAAATTATTTGACAATCTTCAATATATCTTATTGGTAGAAACACTGAATAAAATCAGAAGAAAAATTAACATCTTCAACCTGATAAATTGAACAAAATTCACAATTGACACGATGAATCATGGTAATGGTGATGGACTGCATAGAACAGGAACAAGGAAGGTAAGTTCACAGGTTTTTTTTTTTAATACTCATTTATGAGAGAGGCATTGTTACAGAGAGAGGGAGAGACAGAGAGAAGTCTTCTATCCATTGGTTCACTTCCCAAATGGCTGCAATGGCTCGAGCTGGGCTGATCTAAAGCCAGGATTCAGGAGCTTCTTCTGGATTTCCTTTGTGGGTGCAGCAGCTCAAGCACTTGGGCCATCCTCCACTGTTTCCCAGGCCATCAGCTGGGAACTGGATCAGAAGTGGAGCAGCCTGGACTTGAACCTGAACACATATGGGATGCCAATGCCACAGGAGGAGGCTTAACCTATTATGCCGCAGCAGCAACCCCCTATCTAGTTTCCTAATTGAGGTTTATCAGAACAATTATATAAGAAAGGGACAGAAAGTATCACGTGGAAAGGCAGAAAAATTCATCTCCATTTCAGAAGACATTATTCTCTATACAGAATATCCTGAAGACACACACACACACACACACATTAATAAATGTCAGAAGACTGGAAGCCTCAAAACTCAAATTATATTCTTTCCATATACTAGAAATGGGATACAGAACTCAAATTAAGGGAACAAGTCCATTAGAACAGATGAGAAAGCTAGAATACCTAAGTCAAAATTTAACAGAAGATGTGGCTGGTGTTGTGGTGTAACAGGTAAACTTACCACTGTGATGCAGGCATCCCCTACATGCAGCAGTTCATGCACTGGCTGTTCCACCCCATTTAGCTGCCTGCTAATGCCCTTGGAAAATCAGCAGAAGATAACCAAAGTGTTTGGGTCCCTGCCACCCACATACAAAACTCAGATGAAGTTTTTGAAGTTCTTGGCTCCTGGCTATAACCAACCTCAGCCTTGGTCATTGCAGCCATTTGGGGACTAATCAGCAGATGGAAGATCAATCTCTCTCTCTCTCTAACTCTTCCTTCCAGATAAATAAATAAATATTTAAACAAATAAATATTTAGCAAAAGAAGTACACATTATGTTGGCTGGAAACCACAAAAAACAGTTGAAAGAAATAAAGAATGCTTAAAAATATGAAAGAGCATGTCATATAACTTATTGGAAAATATTATTATTAAGAAGATAATATTCCCCCAATTGATCCATATCTACATTTTACTTATAATTTTATAGCAACATGCTTATTCTGAAATTCACACAGGATAAAAAAAAACAGAATGTGCAAAACATTTGGCTGACTTACACTTTCCAATTTCAAAGATTAGTACACGGCTGCCATGATTAGGACAACATATTACTGACATAAAAGTTCTCATAGAGATCAGTGGAATAGAATAATAGAGTTGATATCCTAAAATAAAACTTATGGTGTACTACACTCATTTCCTCAGAATTCTTAGATATATTGGAAAGCATATTCATTTCAGCAAATTATTCTGATATGGTTAGATATCTAAATGCAAAAGAGGAAGTTGGTGATCTAACTTCAACATGTGCAAAAATGTACTCAGGAGATATACTAGAATATATTTTTAAACATTTATTCAATTGAAAGGCAGAGTAACAAAGAGAAGGAGGAGAGAGGAGAGGAGAGGGGAGGGGAGGGGAGAGGAGGGGAGGTGAGATGAGGGAAGGAGAGGAGGAGAGGAGAGGGGAGGGGAGGAGAGGAGAGGAGAGGAGAGGAGAGGAGAGGAGAGGAGAGGAGAGGAGAGGAGAGGAGAGGAGAGGGGAGGGGAGGGGAGGGGAGGAGGGGAATCTTCCATCTGCTGGTTCATTCTTCAAATGCTCAGAAGAGCCAGGGATACACCAGGCCAGAGGCAGGAGCCAAGAAGTCCATCCAAGTCTCTTTCATGTGTAGCAGGAACTTAACGAAGGGATGAGGAAATCTTTGTCTGCTGGAAGTCATTTGGATATTTATAACATCATTTGGGGGCCATACAAAATTCTCCCCTTAAAAA